TATTATCCTCACAAAATAAATTGATATATAGCTTGCCATCAGTTCCTCCTCTTCTTGTGTACATTTATGGTTGCATTAAAATGATTGAACCAAAGTGCATGTCTATGACCATTGTCTTGTTGAGAATCACTTAAAATTGTTCGAATCCAAACTATATATATCACACATCTTGATTCTCAAACCTGAAATGTTAATTGAACAAAACATATAAATTTATGTTTTAAATTAATTTAAAGTATATTTTCTCACAATATCTCTATCCCCTCTTTCTATATTATTTCTCTTACAATAAAATTCTATACAATTCTTTTATTTGTAATGAAGTCTAACTTTTAATTTTTTATTTAAATTATTTACATAAAAATTTAAATTATATTTTTATATTTCTAATCTATTTCTTGAAATTATGTCAATTGTTTATGATTTTGGTTTTAATTTTATCTATATGGATTCTCAAATACGTATATCTTATCCATATAATATGACTTTTCTCATTATTAAGATATTTTCTCTTTTCAAGAATCAAATAAATATTATCCCTCTATATATCTCTACGTTGAAATTACTTATTTACATATTTTTTCTCTTTTTCTTTTTAATTCTTTGTTCATGTTATTATGTTAACCATAACTTAGAATAGTTCATATCCTTGTTCACTACTCGTATTATAATATATTATAGCGAATTTGACTTTTCTTTTAATTGTAATAACTTTTTTATTTATTTTTATTCTCTTGTTCTACTACTCGTACTAATATAAATTTACTAATAATATTATTCATTATTTATTATTTATTATTATCTTTTTTTTACAATTATAAATTCTCTCACACTATTTCTACTAACTCTTTGTATATTAATTTTTCTATTATCAAATCTTATAGAGTTATTTTATTTTATATTTAATTCAATAATAGAAAAAATAGAAGAGCATCTACTCATATTTTCTTATACTTCACCAAAATTTTGAGGTGTTGTTTTTATCCTTGGAGTTTTCTTTTCCTATTGAAAAGCTTGGATAAGATTTGGTTTGTTTGTTTTTCAATTTAAAAGCTTGAAAAAGAATTGAATCAATTTATTTAAGAAATAATAGACATAAAATACATAGATTATACTTTTTTTTCGTATTCCTCTTCTTCTTCTTCTTCTTGGGAGCAACAGTAGTATGTGCTAATAATACTTCCATCTATATCTTTATAATTAGTTAAGATTGGGATGTTGCTTTTTACCTTTAAATTTAATTTTATTTTAATTTATTAGTTAAGATGGGACAGTAGGCTATATCCTTAGAAAAAATATTCACTTTCTTTCTGTTCATATTTAGAAGAATCTTATTTTCTATCTTTCAATTTAAATTCAAAAAAAAAAAATCTTACCTTTAAATTTTAGTTAAATATTATTTTAAATTGCTAAGTTGCTTTATAGTAACTTTTCACTTGGCTTGGTCATAATGCAAACTTTATTTCTTTAATATACATATAGCTTATTTATTATTAGGAGCAATAGTAGTAAGTGCTGATAATACCTCCATATATATCTTTATAATTAGTTGAGATTGGGGTGTTGTTTTTACCTTTAAATTTAATTTAATTTTAATTTATTAATTGAGATAGGGCAATGGGTTATATCCTTGGCCAAGTGGCTTTATAGTAGCTTGTCACTTTGCATAACCATAGTGCAAATGTTATTCCTTTAATAAATATATAGATAGATTATTATTATTATTATTATTATTATTATTATTATTATTATTATTTGGGAAATGTTTTAGGAAGAAATAGCGATAAGAAGGCATAAAAAATATATGTACGGTTCTTTTGTTTAGGTTTTGGTGTTTCCTTATTTTCAGTACCTTTTAATTTATTAATCCTAAAAAAATTAGCAATTAACTTTATGTAAAGGAAATTTTCTATAAAAAAGCCGATAAAAATGGGATGATTGAATGTTTGTTCCCCGAAAAATCTGTGTAGTATAGCATATATTTTAATTTTGATTTAATAAGGTTGCGAAGTGGCATTTTAATAAATTGCCACTTGATTTGTTAATAACTTGCCACTTGGCTTAACCACAATGCTAATTATATATGATAACTTTATTCCTTTAATATATATAGAGAGATTTGGAAAATGTTTTAGGAAGAGATAGCGATAAAAAGGCATAAAAAATATATGTATGGTTCTTTTGTTTAAGTTTTGGTGTTTCCTTATTTTCAGTACCTTTTAATTTATTAATTCTAAAAAAAATAGTAATTAATTTTATGTAAAGAAAATTTTCTATAGAAGAGCCGATAAAAATAGGATGATTGAATGTTTGTTTCCCGAAAAATCTGTGTAGTACAACATATATTTTAATTTTGATTTAATAAGGTTGCCAAGTGGCTTTTTAATAAATTGTCACTTGGCTTGTTAATAACTTGCCACTTGGCTTAATCACAATGCTAATTATATATGATAACTTTATTCCTTTAATATATATAGAGAGATTTGGAAAATGTTTTAGGAAGAGATAGCGATAAGAAGGCATAAAAAAATATATGTACGGTTCTTTTGTTTAAGTTTTGGTATTTCCTTATTTTCAGTACCTTTTAATTTATTAATCCTAAAAAGAATTAGCAATTAACTTTATGTAAAGGAAATTTTCTAGAGAAAAGCCGATAAAAATAGGATGATTGAATGTTTGTTTACCGAAAAATCTTTGTAGTACATCATATATTTTAATTTTGATTTAATAAGGTTGCCAAGTAGCTTTTTAATAAATTGCCACTTGGCTTGTTAATAACTTGCCACTTGGCTTAACCATAATGCTAATTATATATGGTAATTTTATTCCGTTAATATATATATATATATATATATAGATGTTTTAGGAAGAGATAGCGATAAGAAGGCATAAAAATTATATGTATGGTTCTTTTGTTTAAGTTTTGGTGTTTCCTTATTTCAGTACCTTTTAATTTATTAATCCTAAAAAAATTAGCAATTAACTTTATGTAAAGGAAATTTTCTACAGAAGAGTCGATAAAAATGGGATGATTGAATGTTTGTTTCCCGAAAAATCTGTGTAGTACAACATATATTTTAATTTTGATTTAATAAGGTTGCCAAGTGGCTTTTTAATAAATTGCCACTTGGCTTGTTAATAACTTGCCACTTGGCTTAACCATAATGCTAATTATATATGGTAATTTTATTCCGTTAATATATATATATATATATATATAGATGTTTTAGGAAGAGATAGCGATAAGAAGGCATAAAAATTATATGTATGGTTCTTTTGTTTAAGTTTTGGTGTTTCCTTATTTCAGTACCTTTTAATTTATTAATCCTAAAAAAATTAGCAATTAACTTTATGTAAAGGAAATTTTCTACAGAAGAGTCGATAAAAATGGGATGATTGAATGTTTGTTTCCCGAAAAATCTGTGTAGTACAACATATATTTTAATTTTGATTTAATAAGGTTGCCAAGTGGCTTTTTAATAAATTGCCACTTGGCTTGTTAATAACTTGCCACTTGACTTAACCGCAATGCTAATTATATATGGTAACTTTATTCCTTTAATATATATATATATATATATATATATATATATTCAAAGTACTACAAATATTCAAAGAATATTTTAAAATGCTAAATTAAAGGAAAGAAATTTAGAAGAGAGAGAGAGAGAGAGTTGAATTCTAAATTTAGCAACTAAAATTTAAAATGGAAAATAGGAGGAGAGAGAATGTAAGAAGATAAAGGATAAAACTGATCCCATAATTTATGTTACTCATTAATTGTGCACATAATCTTTACGTACGCTAATATTGTAAAAGAATATGCTATATATGGAATAAACAAGAATTAATATCATTTTCTTAAATACTTTTTGAAAGATGCTCCATTGTGCATTTACGGCTTTGCCGAGACTAATTTCAGACACCGAATGTGTGGAGTTTTTCCAAAGTAGGTAAACTTGCAAAATTTATAAACTTAGATATATAAATAGTGGCACTAAAATTGGGTATTTGTGCACTTCGCCCGGTGGGAGTGGTTCGTAGTAAAAATTGTACGGGACGACAAATTTCTATACCCATATTTTTAAAATTATTTAACCTATACCCTAATTTTTACAACTTCAGGCGCCTCCTTCATCCTGCTACATGCGCGCTCCTTTCTTCCTCCTTTCTTTTCCTCTCCCGCAAATGAAACTCTCATGTTTTGTCTAGCTGACCAAGGCGACGCTTTTCTCCTTCCTACCCCATACTATCATGAGTACGTTACGTTCTATTGATTATTTTACTAGTTCTTCCTACAAAATTACTGCTACTCCCCCCTTTAATGACTCTATTCATTCTTTACTGATGGTTCTTTTGCATTATGCAATGCAGTTTCGACAGAGTCCTCAAATGGAGAACTGGAGCTGAGATTGTATAAAACTAGAGGGATTTTTATGTCGAAATTAGAGGGAACTGAAGTGTTGTTGAGCTCAGATAACATGCTTTGTACCCAACCAGAAAGATCAGAAAGATTTTATGAGCTATATCAGTAGAAAGATGAAAAATTCTATCTTCAATACAAAATAAATTTTAACCCTGAAGTTCATCACAACCATGACAAAGCTTAAGCTAAAACATGCTGAAGTTCGAGAACAAAACTTTAGCTAATAGAATGCTTATGTTCAGCAATTACAAACAACTTCAGGCCCGTCTACTAGAATGCTGAAGTTTGCGTGATTGCCTTTGCTACTTCAAGCCCGTATGCCTGAAGTTTACGCGAAAAGTGGGTATGCTTGCAATTTTTTTTTGCAAAGTGGGTATAAGCTAAAACGTGACCTAAAAAACGAGTATAAATGCAAATCCCCCTGGTACTTATTGGGCCATTCCCGAATATAATGGGGCGTACTTATTCCCGAAATTTTAATGGGCCTACCTTACGGAATCGCGTGGGAAGTCCATAAGAAAAGCAACAACAACATATGTGGAACGACGTCGTAACTCTTTTTAGTCGACAAGCGTGTGCCTCTTTGTTCTTAAGCGGAATCTGCAGAGTCTGGTTTTCTTGAGCTTCGTTCCCATTTTCCATCTTTTCCCCCTTGTATAGGAACCGGACAAACCCTAGCCGAATTAAGAAGCCACAGCCATGACGATCCGGCAGCTCTTAACCCTAGCCCGCCGGTCCCGAAACCTCACCACATGCCAATCACTCCGACGTCTCTCTACATCTTCATCCGCCGTCGCCGCCACATCCTCCACCTCTCCGGCCACCGGTCCACCTCCTCCAGATGCAATGATCTACGACCGATTAGCCGAAGACGTTAAGCACAAAATCAAACGGCTCGAGAATCCCGATTCACGATTCCTCCAGTACAACTCCCCTCACCCAACCTTAACCGACCACACACCAATCCTCAGCTTCCCTGATACGCGCGTGACCACACTTCCATCAGGCCTGCGCGTGGCTACTGAGACAAATCTTGCTGCCAAGACAGCCACTGTAGGTGTATTTATTGATGCAGGGTCACGTTTTGAGACTGATGAGACTAATGGAACAGCCCATTTTCTTGAGCATATGATTTTTAAGGGGACTGAAAAGCGGACGTCATGGGAAATGGAGGAGGAGATTGAGAATATGGGTGGGCATTTGAATGCTTATACTTCTAGAGAGCAAACTGCGTATTATGCTAAGGTTTTAGATAAGGATGTGCCTGTAGCTTTGGATATTTTGGCTGATATACTTCAGAATTCCAAGTTTGAAGAGAAAAAAATTGAACGTGAACGTGATGTCATCCTTAGGGAGATGGAGGAGGTCAAATTTTCTCTATTCTTTGAATTCTGAATATAAAGTTTGCTTTTTTTTTCCCTTTGTTGATGAGCTGCAAGTACCCTATATTATAAGTAGTATTTTACTTGTTTCTGCATGCACTTGTAGTTTACCTGGGCAATCTGGTCATTAAAATTAAGATATCCTCTTCTAGAGTATAGCTAATCGGCATATTTAGTCGTAAATTGACTAGTTTTACACAGATGTAGCTTAACCTGCATTGTGAGCTCACATAGGATAAGAAACTTAGACAAGCCAAGTTTCCTGTTCTAAAATTCAAGATAACCAATTAGGCAACCTGTAGTGTGAGCTCACATAGGAGAAGTAACACACACAAGCCTAGTTTCCTGTACAGAAGTTCAAGATAACCAACTTTTGTCGAGTTGCTGGATGCTTGTAGGTTCTACCTCTGTCTCATATGTCCGTTCTTTCTCCTTTTTAAAAAATTATCTCTAGTTTCGTCAGGTTTATGCAAGGATATAGTCCATTTATAGCCTGTTTGGCCAAGCTTCTTTTTGGCCAAAAGTGTTTTTTTTTTTTTGCCAAAAGCACTTTTGGCCAAAAATTGAGGTGTTTGGCCAAGCTTTTAGAAGGAAAAAAAGTGCTTTTGAGGAGAAGCAAATGCAGTTTTGGAGATTTTAGAAAAAAATAGTTATCTCCAAAAGCACTTTTTAGAAAAAAATAGTTATCTCCAAAAGCACTTTTTTGAGAAGCACTTTTGAGAAAAATACACTTAGAAGCAGTTTTTTAAAGCTTGACCAAGCACTAATTGCTGCTCAGAAGTGCTTTTCAAACTAATTAGCCAAACACAAACTGCCTCTCACCAAAAGCACTTTTGAGAAAAGCACTTCTCAAAATAAGCTTATTTTTGCAGCTTGGCCAAACGGGCTATTAGTATACGACTGGAAGCATAGACAAGTAGATCTAAAAGTGATTTAGTACTTTCTATTTTGTAAGGATTGTAGTGCATAAGGCGCTTGCACTTGTTGATTCCATGCAATAATAGCCACCGAGTATCTTTTTGAATAAATAGTTTGATTGAGCAGTCATTGAGAGTTTTTCTGTTTATTGTCTGGTTGTTTAGTCTCAACATTCTGCCATTTCCTTTGTTCTATCTAGTTTATTGCAGCTGTGGCTTGTGTGAAGGTAGCTTTCGTGATGCAAGAAGCCTGTACATACTAGAGCTTAAGTGTATCTTGCTTTCTGTAGTCGTGTCTTATCTTGTCTGTTTGCAGGTTGAAGGTCAAACAGAGGAAGTCATCTTTGACCATTTGCACTCAACTGCATTCCAGTACTCACCTTTGGGTAGGACTATTCTCGGACCTGCCCAGAATATAAAGACAATCACCAGAAGTCATCTAAAGGACTACATATCAACACATTATACTGCTCCTAGAATGGTATTTTGGAAATGATTTCATGTTCCTTGTCTAAGTCTGCTTGCTTATTAGCAGAAACTTGATTGTTTTAACATTATCATCTGCTTTCTATTGTCTAAACTCTCAGCCTTCTTCGTGGGCATTAAAATAGGTAATTGTAGCTACTGGGCCTGTTAAACATGAAGAATTTGTTGATCAAGTTAAGAAACAATTTACTAAGCTTTCAACCGATCCAACTACAGCCTCAGAATTGGTTGCCAGAGAACCAGCAATTTTTACAGGTTCAGAGGTATGCCTACTTCATGGGGGTGCTTCATGGTGCTTTTCCCCTAGAATATGGTTTTCATGCTGATCTTTTTACTAAAATCAGGTTAGGGTAATTGACGATGACATTCCATTGGCGCAATTTGCTGTGGCTTTTCAAGGGGCACCATGGACTGATCCAGATACCATTCCGCTGATGGTAATGCAATCGATGCTGGGCACTTGGAATAAGAATGCTGGAGGGGGGAAGCACATGGGGTGAGTTGTTTTTTGTCTAGTTTAGTGCAATATCTATGTCCTTGCGAGCATGAGCAAGGAAATTGTTTGTTTCTTATTTTCTTATAGAGCTCCTAATTATTTGCAGTTCCGGGCTTGCCCAAAGGGTTGCCATTAATGAACTAGCAGAGAGCATGATGGCTTTTAACACCAACTATAAAGATACTGGTCTGTTTGGTGTCTATGCTGTTGCAAAGGTGAGGATTTTCATCACTTTGTCTTCCATTTGTTGAATAGAATGTGGTGTGATGATATGTTTTCTTATTTCCTTGCATTTTCTTTTGTCACATAAGTTTGGTGTGGATGTGTTTTGCTCTATTTTTTTTCCTGGGGTGGGGTGAGGGGTTGAGCTGTTTTCATGCTGAAGAACTGCAATAAATGCAAGTGCTTGATTGCCTGCTTGGTGTTTTAGAGTGTAAAAGGGGTTTATGCCCTTCTTGCATCGTGTGTCTAGATATTCAAATTTACCTTCTATTATATCCTCCAGATGTGTTCTAAATTGGCTGAGATCAAAATGCAATTTGGATTCTTGAATATGCTTAAAATGTCTTCTAAGCATTATTATTGGTTGTATATGTTGAACGTGGACGTGAAGTCGTTCTTCTTCTCTAATTTACTGGTCATGCTTTGGGTTGATGCAAATTCATATCTTCTAACATTGAATGTTAGGCTATGTTGTACTAATCTGCTTTGATTCTTTTGAGATATTGTGGATTGCAAGAATTGAGCAATTTAATTATTTGCTCTTTTAAAAGCACTTAGGGGTCGTTTGGTATGAGGTATAAGAAGGTACAAGGGTGGTATAAAAATTTAATACCACCTTAATACTCTGTTGGGTTAGCAAACCAGGTATAAGTTATCCCGGTGTTAATTTTAACACCGGGATAACTTATAACTTATAGAAGGTGGGTTAATTAGCACCGGTATAACTTATAACTTCTTCTTAGAAATTATGCAATTGTCATTCTTAATATAACATGTCAAACAATGAATAAACAACAATCCCAGCATAACTAATCCCAGCATAACTTATCCCAATATAATTTATACCGATATAAATCGTATTCCAACCAAACGACCCCTTAATCTTTCTGTATACTTTTGACTGGCATATGGTTGTGAATAACACCAGTTTTATGTCAATTGAAATCTTAATTTGCAGCCTGATTGTTTGAGTGATTTGTCCTACTGCATTATGCAAGAGATAGTCAAATTGTGCTATCGTGCTTCGGATGATGATGTCGTTCGTGCTTGCAATCAGGTAGGTTTATTTATTATTTAATGGTCAGGTGTAATTGTCTTTTTTTCCCCTTTCTTTTTTGTGTGGGTTTCTCCACTCACTAATTTCGGTTTGCAGTTGAAATCTTCTCTCATGCTTCACATTGATGGAACTAGTCCTGTTGCCGAAGACATTGGACGTCAGGTACTATTGACATCTAATCTCATGGGTGTAGTAATGTGTCGTGCCATGATTGTATGTGATCTACTTTGTTTTTGTTATTCCTTTTATTTTCCGGGAAGAAGTATTTGAATTGGGGTGAGTCATGGATAAGTCGCCGCACATGGAATTTGCTTACTTTTCCCATAGTACTAATTTCCAGAAGATATGTGCAGGATGCCTCCATATATGCGCATAATAAAACACTGAACTGCTTCATGTTCTTCAGTCGATCTATGCTCCTAAACCCTTACATAATTTCATTACCCTTAGACCAGTTTTAGTTAAACTGTACCGCATCACTACTAATTTCATTGCCACTACACTAGATGCGTATAATAAAATTGTTCTTGGAGAAGTTTTAGTTGAACCGTGCCAAAGTGCTACTAATCTCATTGCCACCACCTATATGATGGCAACAGATTGGTCCCATTATTGCATATAGATTCTGAAGGTCTGATTCCACAATGTTGGAAACATCCTCTTCACCGCTATTACTTCTACTGCCAATATGTTGCTGCCACAAAATGTAATAATGTGCTGTAGCCATATCAGCCACTAAAGGCCATGCTCGAAAATGGTAGGTAGTGTGGCTGAGTGGTGGAATGAAGCAGTATGAAGCAGAGTAATTAAGGTGGCTTTGGATGAAAGGAAAAAAGAAGAAACCAAAATGGTCTCGTGGCACATTGACTAACTAGCCTGATTATTCTCGTGCAAGAGGATTATTAGGGGCTAGGAAATGATGTTGATGTCATTATTACAAGTGTCATGATGCTTTATTTGTGCATGCTTAACATCTGGAAAATATAAGATCAAAATGAAGGGTGAAAGGTCTTGGTACCAGCTGGTTGGTGGTAAGAATAACTCTTAAACAGCCGCAGTGGTAAGAGCGGAACGTGTGTTAGGCTCATGCATCACTTTAGACCTTCTTGTTGACAGAAGCTTGGTATTTAAGTGGAGAAGGGTAAAGGGGCGGGTTCATTATCCACCGAGTTTCTACCCAGCGCTAAAGACCTTCAAAGATTTCTTGGTTATTAAAAAAGCAGCTCTTAAACAGACCTTTAAAAAAAGTAGCTCTTCGGCAGTACTCCCTGTGCTCAAGTTGAGTTAGGAAAATTGATGTTGACAAGTTTTGGATGCATCATCAAGTGTAGGACTATGTTTTCTATGGTGTGAATTATGCTGCATTGTCTGCTCTCAAGTAGAGAAGATAGATTGCTAAAGCTTTCCCAATTTCTTAACCCCCTCCCAAAACCAAAAAAAAAAGATTAAAGAAAAACCTCAGAGAAGCTTTGGGTTGAGAAAGAAAAAGAATCAATGTATTTTGTCTAAGTTTGATCCATTTTGCAAATGGGGTTCAGAGATGTTGTCAAGCTAAGGAGAGAGGTCAGCGCTTCACGGATAAAGACGCTTATGGTGCACAAAGTAATTCCAACGAGAAATGGTCGATCCGTTGAATCTCAACTTTGGTTGGATTAATATCAACATTATTGTAAATTGTATGCTGATACTAGTTATTTAATTGTATTTTTTTATTATAATACTGAATTCATGTGTTGTACTTTTTATTTTTCGTGAATGGTGGGCTTCACTTTATAGAAGGGTGGGCTTCACTTCTTGCTTTTCGGTTCAAATCCCATGGACCTTGTTGCCTCTTTGATCTTTTTGTTTTTGGAAAAGCTGCTTTTACCGTATTCGCTTTCTAATATAATTGTACCAATTTCATTTCCCTTTTTTATTTCTCCTGCTTGCAGCTACTCACATATGGTAGAAGGATTCCAGTTACGGAGCTGTTTGCAAGGATTGATGCTGTAGATGCCAGTGCCATCAAACGGGTTGCAAACAGATTTATATTTGACCAGGTGAGGATTCTTAAAAATTATTTGTGGCTTCGGAGCCCATTACTATGAAAGAATCTTGTTACTCAAAATTCTTTGGTTCCTATTTTGAGTGTTAACCAATTTGTATTTCATTTCTTCCTTTTGGCAGGATGTTGCTATATCCGCTGTGGGTCCTATTCAGACTCTACCTGATTATAACTGGTTCAGGCGCAGGACCTACATGCTCCGTTATTAGGTCATTCTTTGTTTTTGGAGTTGTATGCATCACAATTTTACCCATCTCGTGCAACCACTCCCTTCTCGAATATATAGGTCTTGCTTTTCTAATTATTCTTCTTGCATTCTTTCTGGTTTTGTAATGATTTCTAGTTTCTTTCCTATAAAAATAAGCGGCCTATATTCAATAATTTGGTTGTTAACGTTGTGTTTTCATATTCCTTAAAAATGCAAGCTTGCAATCTAAAATTTGTCTTTGATTAAGGTTTGTACATGTGTGGACCATGTAGTTCGTGTTTCTTTTTTTGGTGTTTTGCAGGAAATTGACCCTGCAACCGTCTTCATACAGAAGATGTCTAGAATCTCTTGGCAGCTCTTCTCTAAAATAAACATGAGAATGTTGATTTTAATTTTGTATTCAAAAAAGAAAAAAAAGAAGGGGGATGTTGTCTGCTGGTCCAAAAAGTGTAGCAGCTAGCTTTCAGCTTCAACTGTTTTGACCCATTATCTTTTGTTCTTGTACGAAATAGAATTTAGCTGCAAGTACGGTTAATACTTTATTTTTGAGTCATGAAAGCAACTAAATTATAGTGTTAAACTTGCAAACAATTTTCAACAAATGAAATGAATTGAAATTTTTTCGGAAGTAAATCTGAAGTCTTTGTGCCAAATCCAAAGCACAACCTACACCAGACCAGACAAACTTATACTACGAACACCACGTATGAACGCAGATGATCATAGTGAGCAATATTTGTTATTGCCCTTGCGGAAAGCTAACATTAGTTACGGTATTCCAACTGCCGCGTCTGCATTTATGCTATTGAAATTTAGGCTGTTGATAAACAGTACCTACTTTATAGAAGGGAACAGTAAACTTGTTGGAGCCAGCGTGACGTTAGAAAAAAAAATAGCAAGATTTTTTCAAAGAGTTGAATTTATCTCAACTTTTCTCATTTTTGCTCACCAATCCAACTTGTTAAAAGGGACTGCAAAATGCAGATGCGACATACAAAGCAATATTCCATGTGAATAACTTAGGTGGGCTCACCTACTTCTAGATGTTCAGATATCAAGTGTCAGACTCCAGTTTAACATATTAACTCTTGCAAAAATGAAGGCCAGTTAGAGGAACATTGCCTCAGGTGTGAGGAGGTGTTGCAGAATGGAATGATTCAACAAATTCTTACCAGTTAATAAGCCTTATCTACCTTTCATCTAACCTCCATGCATGCACATTTCATTTTCTTGATGGAGACAACTGGCGCTACTACTTAACGAGGTAACCAAACATCCACTTATAAATTAGCTTGGGGAGTCAAGATCAGGCATATTACAGACAATGGGAACTCGTGCAGTAGAAAGCTCACAGCAGCAAGAATGTGAACATATTTTCCGGAGTAGATATCCTCCGGTTCAAGTACCGGACAATGTGACCCTCCCGGATTTTGTGCTTCACAATGTAGAGTTATACACTGACAAAATGGCATTTGTGGATGCTACCACTGGCAAAGGCTACACTTATGGCCAAGTTGCAAGAGACATAAGGAGGTTCGCCAAGGCCTTGAGATCCCTTGGCTTAAGGAAAGGACGGGTGGTGGTGGTAGTTCTTCCAAATGTACCAGAATATGCTATTGTTGCTCTTGGAATCATGGCTGCTGGTGGCGTCTTCTCCGGTGCAAATCCAGCAGCTCATTCATCAGAAATCGTGAAACAAGTTGAATCTGCTGATGGCAAGCTTATTGTCTCTGATCTACCAACCTATCACAAGGTAGTACACCTCCAACTCAGTGAGATCAAACTTCTTGTATTTGTTACTCTCTCTGGTCCAACAGAAATTTGCATCTTATGATGATAAAAAAAGGCTTTAATCTTCCACCTAATGTAATGAACAGATAACTACACATATCAATCCATAAGTGGGATTTTTAACATGAAAAATCAGGCAAGTTACCTTCTACAATAGGTTAAAATACACTCATAGTGTAAGAGTTCTTTTTATACTGTTAGTATATGTATGATTTATCTAGCCTGCAAGTTAGAGTTTTATGACTGCAGGTTAAAGATTGTGGGCTGCCAGTAATAATACTAGGTGAAGAACATGTAGAAGGAACAATTCATTGGGATGAATTGCTTGAAGCTGCAGAGCGTGCCGGTTCCAGAACTGATCACATAACAAACCATGAAGATGAAATGGTGCAGCAAAATGATTTATGTGCACTGCCCTTCTCGTCAGGCACTACGGGGCTGTCCAAGGGAGTGATGTTAACCCACAGAAATCTAGTAGCAAACCTCTGCTCTACACTCTTCAGTGTTAGCCCAGAAATGGTAGGCCAAGTTACAACACTGGGTTTGATACCATTCTTCCACATTTATGGGATAACTGGAATCTGTTGTGCAACCATTAGAAACAAAGGGAAAGTGGTAGTCTTGCGTAGGTACGAACTGAGGGCATTTCTAAATGCACTCATTACACATGAAGTCACATTTGCACCAATTGTGCCACCTATCATCTTGGCACTTGTTAAGAATCCTATTGTGGATGAATTTGATCTCAGCAAGCTTAAGCTTAGATCCATCATGACAGCGGCAGCCCCACTTGCCCCTGAGATTCTTAATGAATTTGAAAAGAAATTTCCCGATGTTCAGGTCCAAGAGGTGAACATCCACTAGACACTTATGTTTCTCCTAATGTCAATGCATTATTCGGCCCAGCGTTATTTTTGACAAGTTGTGGTCTGTGTTTTTATTTAACTGCTAGGCATATGGGATGACTGAGCACAGCTGCATTACTCTTTCTCATAGTGACCAGCATACTGCTAAAAGAAATTCTGTTGGTTTTATTCTACCTAATTTGGAGGTAAAGTTCGTTGATCCTGATACCGGTAGATCTCTCCCCAAAAACAAACCAGGCGAGATATGTGTCAAAAGCCAATGTGTTATGAAGGGTAACTGAACATAATTTTTCCCTTAAATGACCCTTTTGTTCTAGTAGGCATTGGTAGATATATGGAATTTAACCCTTTGATGTGAAAATTTTTCAGGTTACTACAAAAATGAATTTGAGACTTGCCTTACCATTGATAAGGATGGATGGCTTCAGACTGGTGACATTGGCTACATTGACGATGATGGAGATATCTTCCTAGTCGATCGTATCAAAGAGCTTATCAAGTACAAGGGATTCCAAGTAAGGATAACACTAACCATGAGCTTTAGAGGAGAGCACATTGACCTATCTTAAATACTTGACGAAATTTACTATGCTAAAAGGGCACCCTGGTGCACTAAATTCCCGCTATGCGCGCGGTCCGGGAAAGGGCCGGACCGCAAAGGTCAATTGTATGCAGTCTTACCCTGCATTTCTACAAGAGGCTGTTTCCACAGCTCGAACTCGTGACCTCCTGGTCACATGACATTAACTTTACCGGTTACCCTAAGGCTCCCTTTCACCAAATTTACTATGCTGAATCTAGAATTCTATATTTACCTTTATTCTGTTTTCGGACCTCCTTGTTGGTTTAACAGGTTGCTCCAGCTGAGTTAGAAGGGATCCTTCTCACACATCCTTCAGTAGAAGATGCTGCAGTAGTTGGGTAAGTAAAATCAATTAGTTGAATTAAGGTTTCAACTGGCAAAACTGTCACGAATAACGGATGGATATTCTTCATAACTATAGGCTGCCAGATGAAGAAGCAGGAGAGATACCAGTGGCATGGGTAGTCTTGAACTCAAAAGCAAAAGAAAGCGAAGAGGACATTATCAACTACATTGCATCGACTGTTGCACAGTATAAACGAGTGAGAGTGGTGCAGTTCGTTGATAGTATTCCAAAATCTCCTTCTGGAAAAATACTGAGAAGACTTATCAAGGATAAGATGCTAGAGAGACTTAAGAATGCATAGAGTGATGTTCCAAATACATTATTCTAACATATAACAACATTTACCCATCTCAAGTTGGTATTGACTTGCCTATATTCTATCATCATGTTTGTAAGGAAGCAATATTCCATAATGTCTGCTCTTTTACATCTATAAAACTTTAAAGTTTACTAGCAATGTAGAACACAAACAATGATTGTATTTCATTCTAAAAATGAGCTCAAATTACAGGACGTACAGACATTGGACTAAATCTTTATAAAGTAAGAATTATAAGATGCTTCCTCTTTTATGTTGGCAATGCAGGTTGAGCAAAATGTAGATTCTCTAGAAATGTAAACAATATCAACAACTATACCTCAATCCCGAACTGATTGATTCAAGGAATAATTGGCTGAACAAACACTAAATGCGAATATGCATAAAAAGAATAAAAGAGAGAAAACTGTGACATGTTTCACCATATATACTTGTTTCAGTGATTGCTGAATGGAAGGATAATACTGAAGCAGAAGTCTTCATATTTTACCAATGCAAGGGTATTTCAAAAAATGTGCACTTATCCTGTGAATATTTATAAATTATCAGAATTATTTTACCATTAATTACTCATATGTGTTAAACTTGTATTATTACTCTATATTGAGGATAAAAAATATTTAAATATAATTCAAATATAATATATTTCCTACATAAAAAAATAAAAAGTACACATTTTAATTAATGAAAGGATAAATGTGGTGAGTCATACGACCAAAATCAGAATTTGCCAATAACTGAGAGACCAAAAGTGATATACAATCAAACCTCTCTATAACAACATTGTTCGGACATTTTTAGGCTTTATAGTTAATGGTTGTTATACACCTATAACATAATTTGTTGTTTAAATATTTTTTGACTGTTACATACAAAAATTATAAAAAAAAATCCCCTTCTTTAGTGTTGCATATACAGGACGAGAAATTATTTAAATTTAAAATCTCAAAAGATATGTATATTTCACTAATTAAATATTAAAGTCAATTAATATATTATAAATCCATAACTAAATATGCAAAAATTTAAACTTTAAGGCATGCATTTTAAAGCTACTTGGAAATTAAATTCTTTCAAGATTGATGGAAGAACTTTGAAAAAGATATGTGCAAAATCTTCCAATCTTAAGCATTATACAAGATGAAAATTTTGTCCAATGAAAGATATGATATTATGCATGATAGAACCTTTTGCGCAATGAAATAAAAATATACAAGCATATCTTTTAATCGAATTAAATAAAATATTTCATTATGAAAGTATGTACTAATATAATATTTTTATTATAAGTGGTGCATTAAAGTAAAAAGAATGATCAAATTAAAATTTTTAGGCTTTTTATTAGTAATCTTATAAATTCTATATGAATGTTATAGAAGGTTAATTTTATAAAGATGAACGTTGCTGTAATAGGTAAAAAAAAAACTATTGTAAATAGGTGAAATATAATATAAAAAATTAGTTTCGAGAAAAATATGACTTTAATAGACTGTTATACAAGAATGTTGATATGGAGAGGTTTGAATGTAGTAATATCTCAAAATAAAATAATTATTTTCCTAATCAACCGTGTTTCAAAATTAATCACACACAACAAAGGGCATTATAGTCAATATAGGAAAGAGTATGATATGCTGAAAACTCAGGCTGGGAAGATCCGAACAGCAACATCTGATTTGAAAACTTAGGGTTCCAAATTGCTCTAAATTCCCGCGGATTGAGAGTTCATTGGAGACTTCCATTTTTCCCAGCGGCTAAGGTAATTAATTTGTTATAGAATCAATTCATACAGTTACCAATGCTCCTATGACTACTAAAATACCTCACCCAAATAGTTTGGGAGAAGAAGAAAGTTGGATAAACGTTACCACCTATGTGATATTTGTTTACAGACGATTTGGGCTGCCATAATTTATTGGCCCAAAGTGAAATTGAGAATTTTACTGCAGTATTTTTAATGCAAATCATTGAATTGTAGACAAAAGCAGCCTCAGCATAGCTCATTACTTGTAGAATCCTGAAAATTCTGAAAACGCTGTCTTTTCGGCTTCACTGGGAGATTTACTCCATCCCGTCCGATTGCAGATGAGCCGGTTGATTGAGCATCACCTAGCAAATAATAGTAAGGTTCCCTTTTAAAAAAAAATATTTTTAATTTCTTTTCAGTTGCAAACACACTTTTATGTAGTTTATATAGTAATTCACTAGAAGTTGGTTCTCAAATTGTGATCTTTTAGACATCTCCAATAATAAATGGTCACTACAGTAAGAAGATGTTGAATGATCTGTAGTTATGTGCTTTCGTATAGACTCCTTATCTGGCTCTCTTATGGAGAGGGGTAATTGTTTGTTCCCAATTCCCTTCTTACACAAGGTTTCAATGTGGGTTTTGCATGTTACTTTGTTTAGAAAAAGGTGGTTTTAACTTTTAATGGGCTGTACTTCTTTTTCTGGCGGAGCAGAACAGGACATGAAAGGGACAGAGGTTTTTGTTGGTGGTTTGGCCCGTACTACTACTGAAAGCAAAATTCATGAGGTTTGTTTCAGATTTATGTTACATTGTCTTTTTGGTTCTTCAAGTTTATTTTTTTGGTTCAAGTTTATTTTTTCATTGAGCTTGTTTTGTTTTGTGTGTGGATAAAATAAGTAAACATTATTAAGTATTAACTGGGTCAGCACTGAGCTATTGCTGAGTTACAAAAAGTACATGAAGGAAGTCCTGTAAAACAAATGTGTTATCTACATTATTAACAAATTTTAACTTATACCTGTAAAAACGAATGTGTTATCTACATTGTTAACAAATTTCAACTTATCAAACGACATTATATTAAATTTTTGTTACACCAAAACAAGGTCAGTTAAACACTTGTAGATCAGTATATGACTAGGGTAAGTTTCACCATCAAACCACATCGGGTGCTTCACTGGGGAGAGTCCACACGATTCATGTTGGGACTGTAAACAGAATCTTGTGCAGTCTTTCTTGTGTTCCTACTAGCTGCATGGAGATAGGTATATTCAGAGTCCTTTGCATTACTCAATGGATCCCAATTAGATTTTTAGAAAAGGTCCCATAACTCCCTTGCCACTCTATAATGTAGAAGAGATGATTAGTATCCTCGATATCCTTGTCATACGTAAAACACCGATCACATGGGATAAAACATCTCATTATCTTGTCGTCTTTGAGTGAGGCATACATCATGTAAAGCGTCCGACTAAAGCATGTGACCTCGAGTGGAGCTTTATCTTGCATAACAGTTTCCAAGGCCAGTCACTGGATGTCTTCCACCTTTCAGCAGATTATGATAGTATTGAGTGTATGACTTACTAAAAGTTAATATCTCCGTTTCACTTTTTCAGAAGTCTGTGTCCTGTATTCAAGTTTTTCTAGCAAAGAAATCATCCTCTCAATATCCAATCCCCACAATACCTTATATTTAGGTACCATTTGCTCTACCCTAAAGTATCATGGCATCAGGATACACTACAAACCTGAATAAATCAAGGGTATTTATCTCTCAGAAGTGTGACCAAGCCAAAGATCTTGCCAACATTTTATCTTCATACAATTGCCCACTTCAGGATAAATATGGCTTTGGAATTCGTCCCATAACTTTCTAATGTATTTCCATGGCCTTGCTGTATCGAAAGTGGAGACATTTTGAGTGCACCAGTGGTCCTATATTTCATAATCACCTTCAAAAATATGCCTCCACAACTATTTATGCAATAGACTCATTTATGGAGCCTTAATTTTTTCATCAATTTCACCAACATTATTTGGTTTCCGCACATCTAACTACCTTATGAAATGGAACTTATGCTGATAAATGCTAACTTCCCAAGTTTCTTTTTATACGCCCTAGCTGTTTTAATACCTCTGGGAGGTGTAGTTAAGATTGATGTATAGAGTATCTTCCAGGACACTATGGATCAGGGTCAGTCATCCTCCCACTGAGCAATATTGTTTCTTTCAAGTGACTAGTTTTTATTTAAATCTGTTACCCCCCCCCCCCCCCCCCCCCCCCCC